AACACAGAATGGCACTTCTGGCACCTCTTGCTGTGTTAGTCTTCCACATGTTGACTGATCTGCAGAAGCCTGATGCTGGTTACAACACCTTCTGACCAATTGCCRTAGAAGTGACAGAAAGCTCAAAATAAACTTGGTTATTGTGCAGAACCCAGACAAACTGTAGCTAATATTTAAGCAAAATCACAAGCTCATATGGCAATGTCTGTGAAAACATATAGTGAAATGACAAGTTGCAAATGACATAAGAATTAGCCCCATTAGTTGGCTAATCTTATAACTAACTACCTGCAAACAATATTTTATCCAAGCCCATTTTATGAAATCACTTTATCAAGTAACTACAGATCAGCTTGATGACCATATAAAATCACCTCAGTTTGGTAGGGTGCCCTGCCTATCACAGAATGGTTGAGGTTGGAAGGGATCTCTGGCGATCATCTATTTCAAGCCCTACTCAAGCACATTGTCCAGGATTGTATCAAGATGGCTTCAAAGAATCTCCAGGGGTGGAGGCTCAACAGCCTCCCTGGGGAACCTGTTTTGGCACTCAGCCACCCTCGCAGCAAAGGGGGTTTTACTCATACAGAACTTCTTGTATTTCAGTTTGTGCCTGTTGCCTCCTGTCTTGTCAGGCCAAGACAGGACTTGGCCACCATTGAAAAGAGTCTATCTCCATCCTCTCGACTCTCTCCCTTAAGTAACTTGTATGTGCTGATTAGATCGTGCTGATTAGATCCTCCCCTCAGTCATTTCTTCTCCAAGCTGGAGTCCCAGTTCTCTCARTCTTTCCTTGTAAAAGATGCTCCTGTCCCCTAATCAGCTTAGTGACCTTTTGCTGGGCTCTCTCCAGTAGCTCCATGTCTCTCTTGTACTGGGGAGTCTAACATTGGACACAGTGCCCCAGATGTAGCCTCACCAGGGCAGAATAGAGGGGGAGAATCATCTGCCTTGGCCTTCTGATAATGCTCTTTCTAATGCACTGATGATACCATTGGTCTTTTTGGCCAAAAGGGCACAATGGAGGCTCATGGTYAACTTGTCCAAATCCCTGCACTTCCCTTARKGGAACTTCATGAGGTTCCTCTCTGCCCAACCTGTCTAGGTCTCTCTGAATGGCAGCACAGTCCTGCAGCACAGCAGCCACTCCACCCAGTTTTGTATCAACAGCAACCTTGCTGAGGGTCCACTCTGCCCCTTCACTCAGGTCACTGATGAGTAAGTTGAACAATACTGGACACAGTAATGGCACTCGTGTCCCTAAGGGCCAACAATAGTCACTGGCCTCCAACTAGACTTTGGACCACTGAGCACAACTCTCTGCCCCTGGCCTTTCAGCCAGTTCTCAGCCTATCTGTCTATCTACCCCACACATTCTGAACTTGCCTATCAGGATGTTACAGGAGATGGTGCCAAAAGCTTTGCTGAAGTCAGGGTGGATACCGTCYATTGCTCTCCTCTCATCTATCAAGGCGGTTGTTCCATCACAGAAGATGATCAGATTAATTAAGCATGATTTTTCTCTTTATGAATCCATGCTGACAACACCCGATCACTTTATCCTTCACATGTTTAGAGATGGTATCCTGCATGAGCTGCTCCATCACTTTTCCAAGGATCAAGTTGAGGCTGACTGGCCTGTAGGTCCCTGGGTCCTTCTCCTTGCACTTTTTGAAGTCTGGTGTGATTTCAGCCTTCTTCCAGCCCTCAGGGACCTCTCCTGTTCTCCATGTCCTTTCAGAGATGGAGAGGGGCCTAGCAATGATGACTGTCACCTCCCTCAGCACTTGTGGCTACATCCCATCAGAGCCCATGCACTTGCAGATGTCAGGTTTTCCTAAATGATTTCTAACTGAAGGAAAGTCTTCTACCTCAAGAATACTTTTAAAATATATATTAACAAAAAAGAAAAGGCAAATCCCCTTTTTTTTTCCCCTGATACTGCCTGTTGCTCCACATCAAAACAATACTAAGGGAAGTGCTGACACCTACAGGAAACCACATTCCCACRTGTAGAAACCTCAGCCTACCACAACCTACAGTATTCTGTACACAGTGAAGTCTTCTTAAGCAAGCATATGAATTCACTATCATAAAGCCAAATAAAAATATTTTTACAATTATACTTCTCCTTCCTGTTACACAGTCTGCACTTACATGTCAGTACAAAAACTTCTCCCTTCTCTGATCACTTTTTCTAGACTAATATTCCTCCTCTCTTCTTGTTAACATGGTTTAATTTCCCCTTCCCTTCTGTTCCTCAGCTCATTCTGGCATGATCATTTTTTCTGGTTACAAAACTGGGCCCAAACTCTACTCACCAAACCTCATGGCATTGTGCAGGTTACACGCAACGCAGAAGAGCTTCCAAAGCCCCGAGGTTTGTGTAGGTGTCACAGGGAACGTGATATTCCCAACAACTGACAGTCTTTCCTCTTCTTTTTAATTACTCTCATCTCAGTACTGAGGCTCTCACTGCCCTATAGCTTTTCAAGACACAKACTTACAAACTGAAAAAACAGCAGCATCTTGGCAAGTCCTGCAAAACAGTCAAATTATTCAATCCATAACCTCTGCGGTTAGGAAATCAGGTCAGCTGCCCAGTAACCTCCTGCACAAACCTGTACCACACCGAGAGTCACCACTGCTCCTGCAGCAACAGCAAAATCACCCCCACCAAATCACCACAYGCTCCTAATACCGGTAGTTCAGTAGCAATAACTGCAGTTTTACTGAGTGCACTGCACTGTATGACTTATCATTGTTAAATGGCTGTACAATCCGCTACGTAGTGTTATCCAAATTCAAGTTTTGCATAGTATTGAATACAGCCCTCCTTAAAAACAAGCATATGCAATGGCTTCAGGTAGCGAGCAACCAGGATCACTGAATAACTCAGGCTTGAGAAGGACTGCAGGGGATCTCTAGTCCAACCTCCGGCTCCGAGCAAGCTCAGCTGTGAGATCAGAGCTTTATCCAGCCAGACTGGGAAAACTGCCAAGGATGGCAACTGCACAACCTCTTTGGGCAACCTGTTCCAGTGCTCAAATACTTTTAATTGCAGAGAAGCTTGGCTATACTCAAAAAAGGCTGAGCTGCTTGTTGTTTCTGGAGGGTCACCAAAGGTGTTAATATTAGCTTTAAATGCAGAGCAATAAAACCTAATTTATTTCACCTCTAGTCCTAAGGGAACTGACCAAGCTACAGGGCATGCATTAACAGTGCTCAAATACATGCAAAGGTCCTGGGCCAGTCTCAGGAAGATCCAAGAATAAAGGAAGGTTCAAAACCTAAAGACAATTATTAGGTTCTTTTCCCCAACCAGCTATCACTTTTTAAAAAATATTATAATTGAACAGTGAGGATCCTACTATCATTGGCATGTGCCAAGAGATCTATTCAAATTCAAATGAGCTTCCACCTCAAAACAGTTTCCATTTGATGTGATTGTGCTCTAAAACCAGACACTATGAGTTACGTTCAAGGTAACAAATGAAAATATTGGAATTGATTGATATAACGTCTCGGCCAGTATCTTATACAGCTGAAGACAATGGGTCAGGCACAAACCTTACATTCCCAGAAGTGCAGGCAATCGATTTAAAGTATCTAAAAGACAGCAAGAAAGCTCCAGACAAGTACTAAGTTAACCTTCTGCAGAAGAAGGCAGAGACTMACATTTGTGTTGCACAGTTTGAAGTTTACATTATCTTAGATAAAAACTCTCAGTGGAGTCTATTTCTTATGGACTTTGTTCAATACCACTCCCCAGTTTAAAAGACTAAGGACACACTTTATTAAAGCAGATCTCCAAGGCTGGAGCTCTCCCTTTCCAGGGTACTGGCCATCACTCCAAGCAGTTTACTGGGAGCTCCTGGGCCAGTGTCTGAGCTCAAGGAAAGCTGTCAAGCTTAAATTGTGTTTGCGAAGAAAGGAGCAGCAACTTCCCATAAAGTTTAAGGACAGGGTTATGGGAGAAAAATAAAAAGTACATTAAAATAGGGTTTTTTTCTTTAGAAACATGCTGCGTTTCTGGAGCATTGCCTGCACYGCTCAGCAGGACATTGAGGAATCCCACCCGCTCCAGTGACAAGGTGGCATTTTCTTGCAGTGCCCAAGATGACAGAATTACTGCATGYGAAGGATTCCGCACATGGCTTAATCTACCACCACCGTTTATTTGTAAACATGTTACATGTGCCAATAATTTAACTGAACACAGACTTTGTACAATTCAATGTAATATATTAACAGTGTCACACCAGAAGATGTCAGCTGTATTCAGTTAGAGTCATACTTTAAAGTCTTCAAAATACAAACCATTAGAAATACCAAACAAAAAAAAAAAAAAAAAAAGGAAGATCTGGGGACAATGATGGGCAGGAGAAAAAAACTGAAATAACAAGAATCATGATTAAAAAAATGAAATCAAAAATATGCTTTCCAGTTGGTTCATAAATATCCTCAGGTAAATCCATCTAGAATTAATACTTGGCTTGTGCCTAAGCTCAAAACTGATTTCTCTTTTTGCAAGGTAAAGAGAGATCTTGCTGAAACAACTTTAAAATGTTGTAATGAATGATTTTCCCCCTGTCAATAAAACTATCCGAAGAGAAGAAAATTGTTTCATTTGCCTTTATTTGCAATACARTATAAAATAGATTCTTTTGGTATGAAGATCTTGGAGATCTTATGTTTTACACCACATTTAAAACAAGTCACATATGTTGACTAAAGCCTCTGGACCATCCCAAGCACTGGAGCTGCAGTTGAGTTTTCAGGTGTTTTATGGACTTCTTTGGTTGCACTCTATTCAGGAAACTTCAGACATGCAGACTCAAACATTTAAGCTCCTAAACTTATTCACTGAAGCACCCATAAAGTGTGGCTTGAGTTCTAAAAAAAMCTGTGACCTATCTGCAATTCTCCCATCAACTGTAAGATTTATGGGTATTAAACAATTCTGAAGAGCAGACTAGTTTTAAGAACATTAAATAACCTAATAACAAAGTCTCAGCCAATAAGAGGGAAGGATATACAGTGAGAACAAAAATTTCTTTATCCATTCCCCAACTTCCATACAACAAATTTAACTTGAGCTATCACCACTGTATATATTCCATACAGACAGTGTGCATGGCAGCATCTAATGGATTTTGCCAGACTAACTCACCTATTACAGCTGGCTGTAGTATTTTAAGTAACGTCCACAGTACTGAAAGTGTAAACCTCCATCTAGTGTAAATCATCATCTACCTTTAGTTCCTGACACTGAAACTCCATACAATAATTTTTATGGTAAATCTGCTTTTTTGTGCCACTTCCCCTAAACACTTATTTCTTTTTTAGTTTCCTTTGAAGGAAATAAGACAATCAATAACTAAAAAACACACGGAGTTCACACTACCTGTACAAAAGTCACCATAGTGTAAATAACTAGCTTCATATAATCCAGCTCTTTATGTAGAATACTAAGTAAGCTGCTGTTGGTAAAATACATAAAAAGGAAACAGATGCAAGAGCAGCACTGAGTGAACTGAAGCACAACTGACTTCCAGTTACTCTGGGTGCAAGTCCCTCACTTGCACTTTAGGAATGTTTATAAAACAAGAGAGAGAAGAAGAATGGAATTTTCACGGTTCTAAGTGGAGTCGCTGTATTTTGCTATTGTGGTACATTTTTGTTATTATGGTAGATTTTTGCTTTTTGAGCTTACATCATGTTTATTCTTCCAGCCAAACAGAACAGGATCCAAACCCAAATGCTGCCATTCTCCTCCTGGCTATTTCCCTGCATAATCTGTGCCACTATCTCTTAGTCCATTGGGTAACGGAGACTACAAATGACAAGACGGTTAAGTCTTATTTTTAATTATGACTATATAAAACAATGGAGGTTCCAGAAAAGGAGAGAGCTGGCAGAGTATTTTAGAAACCTGTGTGAAAACTCTTCATATTCGACATCTCTTGTTCTCCTAGTATGTTAAATGGAACAGATTTTTTTTTTTTAACGTGAGCAACAAATTATGAGCAAAATGAAGTTATACTGCACAAAATCAGTCCCCTACAAGTACAGTCTCTACATGGTTTTAGGTGAAATGCCTCAGCTTTAATGGTTGTTATCATGAACAGCTAATGGTTCCAGGAAAAAACAGATTCAGAGAAGCCTTTGCCTACAGATCCCCTACTGTTACGTTCCTTCACTAATGACTTTCATAGGAAAATCAAGAGCTCTGCTCTTTCAGTCAAACATTAATCAACACGAACAGATCTATTTATGTACCTTAAAGTCAATTTATGACATGAAGCATTTTTCACAGCAATCATCAACAACTTCAAATAACAAGGGCTACTCCCATTGTGCTTGGGTCTCCCAAAGTCCTCGTTTCATACCAAGAGTGATACAAACCCATTATCGTACAGAGCCTCATGAACAGAGYCCATCAGTTCAGCTTTCCATAATTCCAGACCTCCATTCAGTTATGCCAAGGATGAAACAGCTCCACTCTTCCCAGAGGGGCCTGAAGCCACCAGCAGGTCATCGAGTCTGCATCAACTCRGCCTTCTAGAAGGAACAAATCCCTTCCTATTGTGCTGACTTGTCAAGGCCTCAGTGTTAAGCTGAACTACATAATTCAACGATTCTTAATGCCCCATATCATCATGATACATTTTTTTAAATAGTTGGTATCACTGAGCTTTCAGCGGAAGAGCCAAATCTCTTTCCTTTGTACAGAAAGATTTTCAGTAATACAGTATAAAACTAAACAGAATTTATGTCTGAATAACGAACATAGAAAACTACTATTGCAATTTTGTGGTGACAGCATAGAAAGTTAACAATCCGAAAGCCTAGAAAGGGCGTGTTTCGTTATAAAACAAAGATTGTCTCGAGATAAAAATACAGTGCTGACAGCTAAAAAGCTCTCTGTTGCAGCAAGATATGCAGTAATGAGTCACATGTTCTAGACAGTTTAGCATTTCCCCAATACTGCAACACAAGACATTTTTGTAACACTACTTTCACATGGATTATGCTGCAGCAGCAGTACACTTCTTAGTGGTTGGCACTATAAATTAACTGAAGAAAGGCATTTAGTGATCAACGCACAGGAATCCCTATTTATTTGACCCGCTCGTTAGCTGTGCTCGAAATAAAAACTGAGGAAGGGACCGGCCGTTCCATTCGGATAAGACACCTTCTTTGAACATGAGATTCTTTGCAGGAAGGGGAACACCCGAGTCCGCCGAAGTCGGCTGCAAAAGTGAACTCGAAGAACTGGGATCAGGAAACTGATCCAGCGATGAAATGCCTTCCTAAGGACAAAAGGAAATAAATGCTTTAAAAACAAAGACAGAAACAAAGAAAGATGTAAGAGCTATAATATGATGGGCTCAAGTGCAGATATATTATTTAGTGTTTCTAAAGTGTTAACTTATGCCAAAGAACATCAAATCATTACAGAGGCCCCTCTGAGTAGAATAAAAGGAACACAAGAAGTAGACATAGAATTGCCTCCTCTACATCTCAATTGTTCCATTCAGGTTCAAAGAAATCTCCAGGAAAATTTGAGGCTTTAAAATTAAGGAAATTAAAAATACACCCCCAATATCCCAAAGTATGTAGTGATTTCCCTACACCACAGTCTAGCTCTTTGTGAAGTGGAGCTACAACCAAGAGTCTGTTAATTTATGCAATAAAGCTACTCAGCAGACTGCAATCATATTTAAGAAAACTAAATCTTTCTTCATCAATGCCAGACCCTTTAAAATTCTTTAAGAGTCTACTCTGCAAGAAAGAAGTTTTTGGATTTGCCTTTGACTGCCCTCCACAAAGGACTARCATATAGTCTTGCTCTTGTCCTTGAGGGTCTCTTCTTTCAGGCTGTCCTCATACAGTTAAAGCAACCAGYTCTTGCATTTGAAAATTTCTAGTATCATTTTGACAAAACGACCCAAAATTTTACAAAATGACCCAAAGTATCACAAAGTAAAAGCAACTAAATAGCTTTCCTTTAGTCCACTTTGCATGTGGACACAGTTGCTAGCACACAGTGCCATGCTACACTGTAGCAGCTACAGGCTTGCACAGAAACCAAATAGAAATGCCAAGGCTCCTCTTCTCTATCCATACTCTTAAAAATCCTCCAAACAGGGTAAGTAGCTTTACTTATTAGCACTCCTTCATCCCAAAGTGTTAGAGAATCTGAAGACAAATGCCAAAGTAGAATGGGATCAAATTTGTGTTAATGCAGTTAAATGAGATTTTGTTGTGCATATTCATAAAAAAAAAAAAAAAAAAAAAAACACCACACACCATACGAAACCACCATGAATCACAAACCACAACCCAACACAAAAGTTGAGAGACAAAGATTAAATAACACAAGAAAGAAGGTAAGGAAATACTCTCATTTTGTTACCAGTAAAATTTGATAACCTTCTTAATATAGTTAAAGAAAACAAACAAACAAAACTACCACAGATAAACCAAACCACAGTAAAGAATAGCAAAGAGTAGGGCAAAATGGCAATAGTAGACCCTGCAGAATGATTTACAGCTTGACTCTTCATCCTTACCTGGAATGAATGAACAAAATTAAGGACCTGTAGAGACAGCTTTCTACTGGAATGTAAGAGTTTTTGAAGGCTGTCAGAAACAGGAGAGAGAAGGCAGGTATAAATAAAGCAGATAAAAAGCACACACTATCAATACCCAATCTTCTTAGGTACCTAAACCTTACTGTGGGAAAAAAGTATCCAGGAAAATAACTTTAAAATAACTTGTGCTACCTAATATCACAGACAAACCCTCCCAATACTAATAACAACATGAACAACTGGTAAGATTTTTTTTGGGGGGGGAGGAAGTAAATCAATGGATTCTCATTCTTATAAAACACTCATCTTTCAAGGTAAGTTATAGTGAAAAACTGAAGATACCTTGACCATAAGCCAGTACAAAACTTAGCAAATAAGTTACTAAAAGAAAAAAAAATCCACAATAACTACATATATCTACATCAAGGTTTTACAAGGATTATTTTGATTGAGGGGAGAGGAAAGGAAGAATCTGTTCTAAGCCAGTAGAGGGAAATGAGCAGGAAGGTAGCCCAAAAGTGCTGCTCTGAGCTGTCTATCAACAGCTTACCATAAATAATTCATTTTTCACCTTAGAGACTAATCTTTACATTATATCTGGTATCTTTGAGCCTGAAAGTGACACTACCCACCACCAGACTAGAATTTCTTTACTCCATGAAACTTAGCTTAGTTCTGGTCTTATGGAGTTGTAGGAGTCAATTTTGGCAGAAGCTCTGGATGAAACAGAAACAACCTGGTAAGCCTGCACCAATGCTCACCTTTCTTTTCTACACAATCCATGAGTGGCAATTTTTCTGCAGACTTTCTGATTCAGCTCCGCGCTGAAGAGCGGAATGCCAAAGCATAATTCCAGGGGAACCCATTCCAGTTCTGTTGTGGGTGCTACAGGATGAAAAAAAGAGACAACGTTCAAGACAAACCAGGAATATTGATCCCAGCACTGGTTCCCTCAGATTAGGAGCCTGTTTTAATGGAAAGTTTTAAGGGAATGTGAACTTTAAGTAAGAAAGAAAGAACACATTGCAGCCCTATTCCAGATACTATCAAGCAGCCTAATGTGTTCAGACAAGTATTCTGAGTGGACTAAAAAGCCTTTTGTAAAGTTTTTACCTTCAGGGCTTTGCTTGACTGCAGAATCCATTGAAGTGTCTTCTATTACCATCTCAAATGATTCTGTGCTCCCATTTACATCAGAGCCTGATGCGAGTTCAGTCTCTCCTAGAAGTTACAAAATTCTCTGTAAATATTTAACTGTTATAGGGTTAGTTACTGTGTGATGTAAGGACCTTTACTAATTTGGTGCAAATCATAAAGCTTAAGAAAAGGGTATGGAGAAACACAGGACCTTTATTATTTTTAAGACTAAGAAACAGCTTTGAAATCCTCACAATCATGAAAAATGTTCTGGTATATAAAAATGACACAATTTACATTTAATGCTTTAAAATGATTATTTTTTCTTCCTTTGAATGTYCTAGTTCAGTAATTTTTGGTTACTCTGCTGTTTTTAAACTACTCGCATGGGATAATTTAGCAAATCTATTGCTAAGAGATTTACAGCTAAGATAGGCTTCTAGATATGATAAAAGATTTTCTGGACTTGTAAATCAAAGAACTGAAATCCTTCATTTAACTTTGCTGAAGTGATTGCATGTGAATTAAAAAAATAAAAAGACACACGGATGAAAAACACTGATAACTACCTCTTCCATCAGAAGAATCACTCAGCTTTCTGTTAGCCTGCCGACTTGTAGGGTTCAACATAGTGACATAGCCACAAAAATGCTGCAAATCTACCTTTTTTCGCAGTATTCTCAAAGCTGTATGAATGCCCATGTTCACACGAGAGAAGTCTAGTAGAAAGAAAACAAATATTTTATCTTACAAGAAGCCTCCTCTACAGYCACATAATTCACTTCCAAGCAAGGTGAAATTTCTTATTATCTTGATGTCTTGATGATCTCTTGTAATGTTCCATGTTAGTGATCACACTGGGGAGTCTGGACAGCACAAGCGAGCACTGCCTCCGCACATCAAACTCCAATTAATACCTTATATTACAATAAAATTGTGGAAGAGGAAAAAAAAAGTACAAAGATGGTATTTCTCAATCTCTCACATACATACACATTTATTCAGCAGATATGGCAAAGTTCAGCTAGAACCCACTGATGTCCAGTTCTTCCACTGCCAGAGTGGCTCTGTGCAGAGCTAGACAGAGACCTTGGAAAAAGGATCTCCCTGGAAATCAGGAGATCTTGCTAGAACAGCTCTTCCTGGTGAGGAGAAACCCCTGGAACAGCAATTCAGGTTTTCTTCTCATCTGTTTTCTAGTTAAGACTGAAAAGAAGTAAACCTTAGTGAGGATATACAGTAGACTTATACATTTACTAAGTAGGGATAAAGAAAGATGCTTCAGGGAGCTACTTTTTTGCCTCTGTGCTGGAGAGAAGAGCCAGAAATCACACTCTTATTAGGACAGAGAATGTAGAAAGCAGGAGACYGTATCTGTCTAAATTTAGAGGAGACTTGGCAACAATTTAAACATTATTTCATTTACGCATCCAACTTAAACTGTAATTATGAGAAAAAAATGGTAGTCAAGGAATTATTGCAATCGTCTATAAGGTAACATCAAAAAAAAAAGTAAATACTACGGTGTAAAGAGTCAAGAAACATTCAAGAAAGACAGTTACCTCCCTGCTGCTCAGCTTCATCAAATGGAAAAGGTATGTGCACGGTTTCCCCCATTCCATGCATGCCATGTCCCTGAATAYCAAGAAATGTAAATAAACAACAAAGATATATAACCATCAGCTTAGCTTTTTTCTACTTGTGCTTCCTTTTAAGGCAGACTATAATTCAAGCTTAATTTTATTTCAGCTMACCCAGGAACTATAATACTATGTAAATATCCTACTCTCCCCACTAAATCAATGACAGTAAATGCAATGAAGCTTARCTGCAGTAAAGACAACACCTTTTTTTCTACCAATATGAGTTTCAACAAAGCTCATTATCACTGTGAATTTCAAAAGAGCAAAATAATGGAATTTACACCCCTAAGCATGGAAGATTTCTGAGCAATCAAGGCTGTTACAAGTGGGCCTTCACTGTGCAATTTTACATTTGTTCTAATACTAAGCATCTATTTACTTGAACGATTAATTCTCTGAGAGTTCACTTGGATTGACAAAATAGGAAAAGCAATTTAGTTCTCCTATTTACAACCAGGGAAAAACCCTCCCTGCTTCCRAGGTTTCTGACATAGAGCATGTTCTGCTTTTCACAGTCATGACTTACTTGAACTGTGTTGTACTGTAAGAGCTGAATATTAAGCTCTCAGAAAAAGTGCATTTCTTACATAACATAAGTCTTTGGCAAAGTAAAACACATATTAGCAAAGAGCTGCTACCATCAGTATCACCCCAACACCAAGTTGTGCTGTAGTCCTAAACACCTACTGCACAAGTTTTAGATGTATATAGTTTTACATGCACATTTATATATATAAAAGGATATGTGTATATGTTTGTCTGTATGTGTATGTAAAATTTTAAGAATTATCTTGCTTATCAGTAACTGGCCTTTCATTCAAGCTTACTGATCATGTTGTTTTGCATCCATTTATCGGATATTCTCATTCATTTACAAAAAACACTCTTTACCACCATTTTAACCAGAGCAGCACTAGCTGCAGAAGCTAAACACATTTTGCAGGTTTTGACAAAGAAATGCAGCTCTCCATYACCCTTAATACCCTAGCTGGGGAACCCTAGCTTTATTCAAAATTACACGTTTATCATTTAGACAGAGCACAGTACCTGAATCAGAACAGCAGAATGTGTTAAAGCATCATTCAACATTGTGAGCACATTTGATGTAGGAACCACTCCTGGGTCGTGACCCCAAGATGTTATCAGTAAACGATCATAACCCTAGAAGACAGAAATGAAGACTATTTACACTAGTAGCAGATTATCCAGGCATATAAAGCAAAATGCTATAGTTAGGCTAATAGCATATTGTTACAATCAGAAAGTTGCCAYGGGTAATTACAATTTTGCAGTATTTCACTTTGTACCAAGCAGCATTCAYGGTCATGCTCCTGGTAAGGACAGAGTTTGCCAACCTCCAAGTTAAGATGCKAGTTTGAACAGGAGGTGTCTGTCCCCAGTCCCTGCAGAAGTATGTGCCCATCGCTGCTGCTTCCCAGCAAACAGGAGAAAATAATCCCACACAAATGGGAAAGCAAAATATATACTAGATAAAATTAACACTGGCAAAAAGAGAGAAAAGACTTATCTCCTCCCAAAATACCTCTCTGAGAGGGAGGGACAGGGAGAAAAAAACACTAAAGGATGCAATTTCAGCTTTTTAGTTTTCRAGGTTGAATTACTTTGTCTCTCTGTAAGCATTCTTAAAAGTGAAACATGGACATTCCTGTCTGTACACAGAATAAAAAAAGTCTCCAGTAAATTCACGATAATACAGAATGAGGGATCATGAACTGATTGATTCATCAACACACTGAAAATTCAGCTCAGTAAGGAAGCTTTCTTTACCATATTGAACACTTTTTATTAATCAAAGGCCACAGGCCATACATTTACCAGCAGCTTAAGCTCCTTCTGGTAACTCTTAAGTTTCAATCAAGTTGTTCTTCAATGGTTTTACAAAGTGCTTTCTGCTCTAGAGGCCTAGATTCATTTAAGTGTTATTTGAAAATATGTCTTAGAAATAGGAAGTATCAACCTTTTTTTTAAATCAGAAAGGCCCTGGAGGGTAAGGGAAGAAACAGAAACAGATATAGAGATTTGAGAAACACATCCACAAATCCAAGAGCCAGAGATGGTTATCATAGAATCATAGAATGCCGAAGGTTGGAAGGGACCTCAGAGGTSATCGAGTCCAACCCCCCTGCTCACGCAGGGTCACCTAGAGCACGTGGCACAGGGCTGCATCCAAGCGGGTTTTAAAGATCTCCAAAGAAGGAGACTCCACAACCTCTCTGGGCAGCCTGTTCCAGTGCTTTGTCACTCTCACAGTGAAGAAATGCTTCCTTAAGTTCTTGTGGAACTTCCGATGCTTCAGTTTGAAGCCATTTCCTCTAGTCCTAAGAGATTGAGACGTGGGCACATCTAAGAACACACATCCTTCTCTGAAGGTCTCCACGCCACTCAGCTGTTCAGCTTTTCAAGCATCTGCTCAGAACAAAGGGATGAACTGTCACAGTCAAGGAGACTCACAGCCTGCTGTCTCTGCTGAGAACTTTGCAACCTTTCATATCAAAGCCAATGGCAAATCTACCCAGTCTCGTGGAAGTCCTTGCCAAAGGCCAGGGATGTGGTAAAGTTAAGATGAATTCAAGAGTGGGAGAAAGGAGGCTGGCAAGTGAACACTGCATCAGCAGAAATACCAGTGACAGCCTCTAGGCATATTGAGTGATATGCAGTTCAGGSAATCACAGGATCACAGAATGGCTGAGGTTGGAAGGGACCTCTAGAGAACATCCAGTCCAAMCCCCTGCTCCAGCAGGGACACCCAGAGCACGGGGCACAGGGGCAGCCAGGGGGTTTGGAAGATCTCCAGAGAAGGAGACTCCACAACCTCCCTGGGCAGCCTGTTCCAAGGCTCTGTCACCCTCACAGGGAAGTTCTTCTTCATGTGGAGATGGAACTGCCTGTGTTGCAACTTACACCCATTGCCCCTTGTCCTGTCACTGGCCACCACTGAGAAGAGTTTGGCCCCTTCCTCCCTCCATTCCCCCTTCATGTACTTACACATGTTGATCATACCCTCTCTCAGTCAGAGAACTCAGGGAGTGCTCTGATCAGAAAAACGGCAAGGCTGGAAAGTCTTGAGGCTAAAATACTATATATTGAACTTCTTCTTCCTAGGCACTTACTTACAGCCACTGCTAGAGACAGGCTGCTGGGCTAGGAAGACCTAAGACCTTTGCTTCTAAGAAAGGCAGTAAGTTACTGTACCATCTACAGTACCTTATACCTCTGACTTCCACTGCTATCACCAAATGCTTTAGTGTACAATATACATCTGAAACATCTGGAAAGGGCAGGGAAGAAAAAAAAATAATGAATACAGTACCTGAAAAATTTCTGGGAGTTTTCGAAGACGGGTTCCTTTAGAGAGCAAGAGAGAAGGTGGTCCTTGTCCAGTTATATGGTAAATGTACAGTTTGAACCAAACTGAGCTGACTTCTGGGATTGCAGGTCCAATGTGCTGAAGAGAGATTATCCGAGAAATTGGAAAGAGCCTGAAATTGCAACTTTTAAATGTACAGATGTAATTTAGGAATCAACCATTTAAATATATATATATATATATATATAAATCCAGTTCTATAGTACAAGGTTTAACCATATTAAATTACTCTTCTAAGTAAAAATGATATCCTAGGTACTTTGTCCAGTATAGGAAGACTATCTAAAAAAGATGATGGTAGGGCAGTGCTAAGGCTATGAATTCAAGTACAGAACCTGTCATAGATCCTACTTGAGCTTATATATTGTTAATAGATTAAATAAAACCAAACATAAGTAGTATTCTCATTTAATTCACTTCACACCTGCTTTTCAGATCAATTTCAATACTCTGCTACACGCTTCTAGATGCTCTTAAAAGGGACATCTCAGACTTCTCTAAAACAAAGCTACTAAGAAGGTATGGTAGTACTAGATCCTAGGATTTTTCCCAGTATTTTTTCACCTGGGGTGTGCAGCTGCTGATGGGTCGAATTTCGTTGGTGAGTGGTGCCATGGACACCAGCAGGGTGTAATTTTTGTTGAGAACTCGACTGCAGGTAGCTGGATCCAAGCCGAGCAAGCTCTCACATCGTAAGAGATCCAAAGGAAACCCTAAGTTAAGAAGGCAAGATGCATAAATCATCAGCTGAGAGGAACCAAACAACCCAAAATATTACTTAAGATTTTCCATTCTCCCCCTGCTGAGCCATGAATGCAATATTCCCCACAATTAACTTTTACATTTACAAATTTATTAAAATTCACTTCAGTTTTAGCAATAGCAGTCATATGGGCTCTTCTGGCACAGAACTACCACTTGCTTCTCACTGACTGATCCCAGGAAAAAAACACACAAATATATTGATAGAAACAGATAGGCAAGACCCAAAAAGCATCTACTTGTACTACAAAACATACTCCCTTTTGTGACTTGAAAAAAAGTCTCTCCAAAGAAACAACTTTGCCTTAATAAGTAACAACTCCTTTACCAGTCTTTGGAGTTGGACAATTTGAAAAGAAACCCTTCCTCAAGCTCAGCTTGTCTTGCCTTTAGCAGCTTTAATCTGTTGCTCCAGACATAAGTCCACACTTATGTGACCAGAACTGTCATTCAACACAGAAACAAAGCTCTGCAGGCTAAAAGGATGATGAAACGTAACATTTTTTTTAATTGAGTAAAGTACTGATTGCTTTCTGAAATGCCAGCTTGATCAGAAAGTTAAGACTCCATGGCAGGCAAGCAGACACGTTTACAAGGATTTTCTGATGAGAAAGTGCTCACAGTACCGTTATGTGGCTGATCAGGCTGCACAGCTTGTGCCCCTAGGTCTTTATTATGCCGCAGAAACAGTATCGTGTTCCTCAGCGTCAGTGCGTGATCAAAGTACCTCTGTGCTTCCCCTTCACCTGTGCTTTGAACCTAGACAAGCAAATAAACACTTACAAGTGACATGCTGTTTAGAAGCACCAATTACACACGTGGGAAAACTAACAAATCAGCATTTTAAAGGCCTGTAATTGCCTGACAACTCTGCAGCTTATGGGCAGGGTTGACTTACAGCGACTATTAAGTGAGCAGTGATTCTTAGCCAAGGCTAAGTCAAATAGACAAAAGTAGGCAAAGGCAGCATCCAAAAGTTAGAAAAATCACTCGAGTCTTTAGGTTAAAAAAAAAAAAAAAAAAAAAAAAAAAGCTTTAAACATTTGGTCATCATGTCTAGTAAAAAAGAAGGATACTGTAATCAACATAAGCTCTACTACGTAGTTTAAGAACAGCAGAATTATCTTTAAAAAAAGATGATAGGTTCAACATTCCAGCAAATAGTTGGTCATTTTTTTCCTACAAAAAAATGGCCACACTTCTTCAGTAATAGCAACATCTCACCAAAAAGGAAGTGATTTCCATTTAACAAGCCCTAATGCAGGCAGGCATACACAGACACACTTGGAGAAATGCAGTTCTTGCACTCACTTTGGTCACCAGATACTTCACACTCATGCACATGCATGTGCCTTCCTGAAAGGCACTGCAGGCATAAATGTGAGAAATAACAAAATTTTAACTGGACTACTTGGATTCAGTGGTCAGGTTTGCATTCCTACTGCTGCATTGCTCAAAGGGGCTCCTAAAGCAGTCCTACAAAAGGAAAATAGCAGGCCTGTTTTTTCCTCACCCTGTACAGGCAAGTTCTGAAAATGTATTTGGCCAGGCATGTAAGGGATTACCTTTTCCAGCTCCACCAAGAAGCTGTCGAGAGACTCATCCGAGAGTTTCCCAACTTCAAACATGGTGACTGCATGACTTTTCAGGTTCTGAAACAACAAAGCTGACTTAATTCTCTGAGAAGGGAAAAAATGGGCAAGCAAAAGTTTTTATTAAGCAAAAGCATTCCTTATTCACTAAACAATATAAGTGTTTCTAAAATGAACAAAGCTGCATTATACTGAAGTCAAAGTATTTTAGACCTTCTATATATCTGTTCTGAGCCAAAGAGATGAACAATTTTGACATACTGGTGAAAGATTTCCCATCATTAGAAAGGCAGTGAGAGTGGAATCGAAGAGGAAGGCAATACGCTTCGGGTGTCCACTCGACARGCTCAGGCTGCTCACGCTGGCTGTGTCAGCTAACAAGGAACAACAACAACATATAAATTTTCTTTATTTAAATAAAAAAAATAAGTCCTAAAATTATTAAAAGTCAAAACCTAAAAATCCTTAGATGATGTCATAGATTACAACAGAATTTCCTTGTTTGTTATTCCAAGAGAATTGCTTTGTTATTAGTGAAGTATCGACTAATTCAAATTTTAATTTTGAAGTTGATAACATTCTGTTCATTAATAGTCTTAATACAGACTAACTAAATAGCTTCTTTCTGAAAATGAGGCTGAATTTTAAACCAAAGAACAGATACCACCTGCCCCACTTTATATCATGCAAAAAAAAAGGTTCAAAAAGGGCTTCATCTATTTGTATATCCCTTTACAGCTTACGGCCCCCTATAAATAACTGATCCTCCTAATGTATTAAGTTTAGYGTTAGTGCTAACCTGGATCATCTTGACTGTTGGTATCTGTATCTGTGGCTGATGATCCAGCTTCCTGTACAGGACTTCTGTTTTCCCCACTGTCCCATGAAAGCAGCATCTTTTGAGGATCCAAAGTACTCCTATTAAYGTGAATTAAAATCCACACCTGTTGGTCACTGTGGCACTAGAGAAGCAGCTCTGCCTTCCAGGGCTAGCACTCCATGCACAGGCAAGCCTGATACAGCTCTTTCCATACTGCTAAGCCCCAGACTAGTCCAGCTTGAAACCCCTGCCTTAGYTATAGCAGAAAACATTGTTCCAAATTTCCCAAATACTGAATTTTGAACAAGAAATCTGAAGATCAAGCCATCATCTTTCAAGAAAAATCCAATGGAAAATGTAATTCACTTTGGCCCAAGAGTCCAATTAAGTCCAGTAAACAGTCCAATAAAAATTGGACAGAACAAAGGGACTTACAATTCTTGAGCTGCACAGATAGGTTGTATTACTTGAGAGCCAGATGCTGACTAGGATTAACATCATGTTCCCAGGACTTTATACATATAYACACACATTTGTGTATATATTTGTGTACGTGCATGCTTATATTTTTATATATAGATATTCACATTTGCCCACCTCAAGAGGGAGGAACTGCTGCATATTTAAAGGTCAGAAAGCCAACAGCAGTTGTAAGTAACAGCAAGTACATGGAACTTGCAAGGYAATTCACCCCTCCTTATCCTCTGATTACAGACATAAACATAATGAGAGGAATACTGCATTATTAGAAAGCTAAATTATGTATATTWAAAAAACAAATTAGATTACTTACTGCAGAATTCAAAAGAAAGCAACCAATAGGTCTATACTTCTATTTAAGTTCTACTTTTCCTTTAATCAAAAAGGAGCTTTGGGAAAGAACGGAGATACTTACTTCAGTCTRTTTACTGAAGGAACGTTCTTCCAGGATGGATGAAGATTATCCAGGTTTATTACCTGGCCTTTTTTATGTGCAAAGCCTAATCGACAATACATGGACACAGCATTCTGAAGAAACACACAGAAATAGATTAAGTAACTACATATAAAAAAAACACACCCTCATCTACAAAGTCAGTTTACAGGAYTGGGCTTTTATCATCACCTGTATTACACATATATACATATATTCGTACATACCTTTACTAAAGATAAGTCAATCTCTAGAACATTCGCAAGCTAAAAAGGAAAAACAGAGAGTCAACAATCCAGGAAAAACTACCACATMGCTCATGGGTTTTTAAGGAGCTCAGGGGAAAGGAGTGGTATTTTTAAACACAACCTGTAGTAGGAGGGGCAATTTTGCCTTCATCAAAAGTAAGAGAAAAAAAAAAAGATGACATCTTGTAACTATTCCATCTCAAAGCATGCAAAAGAAATACAAGGTTGTGCAATTTCTGAAGAAACACAAAGCTGTGCAATTTCTGGAGTAATCATTTATATCCACAGACATGCAAAGATGAAAATAAATCCCAGCTGTGTTTAACAGTTATTTTTTTAGAAACCAACTTACACAGTTTAAAGAATCAGACCCTATAAAAAATATTTCTCATTAAAGTTATAAATACTCGTGTAAAAAATATTTTTCCTACTTTCAGCCAACTCCCTGCACGTTTCCTACCATAGAGAAAAATTCCTTTTTAATTTTTTTTTTTTTTTATATATTACTTGCATATTAGCAAAACAGAACCAATCTGCTTAGGCCAGGGAAAAACTAGATTCTATTCCAATTTTAAGTGGAGTAAAACAGCCAACTGATGGAGCTGCTTCCCTGATTACATATTTGGCGTGCATTTGGCTTGTAGAATGGTAAACTACATCCAAGATTAAGGAGACAGGCTCGAAGTCAGCTGCTATTTCTCCGTTTCTCTTCCATCAGCATTTCCCCAGTTCACTTTGAGGCCTCTCAGGTTTTGCTGCCTCCCTGACATAAGCTAAGTGTTTACTCACCTCTGCCACATTAGTGTGCTCATCTATGGAAACAAATATCTTGTAGAGGAGAGTTTCAAAGTAATCACCTTGCACTCTGTTCATCACAAAACCTTCCAGTGGTGGCACTGAAAAGAATTATTTACAAGATTACTATTTGGTCAACTTTTATTTTTCTATTCTTAAGTTGATTTAAAAAAATTACACTTGTTTAGTTTTCACGATGCCTGCAATTTTGAGGTCTTCCCAGAGTGTCACAAAAATCTAAAGGTAGTTTATATAGAATCTATATTTAAAATCCTGCTATCATATTTAGAGAAATAATGGCTGTCAATATTTTCTTTCCTACAAAAACTAAAACCACTGTCTTGCATCACAGTCTTGTAGACTCCAGTTTATCCACTACCGGTAATTCCCAGTTATCTGGCTCAAAGATTTATAGAAAAATCACCAGCTCTGCAACATGAGTGGAGAGTAAATCTTGCTTCTGACTGAAAACGAGAAGAAAAATCCCTCAGCTGAGAATCCCAGAGCTACCTTCTAAGCAGGAGCTCTAGTCTTTGGAGCCCTTTTGCTTTACTGATCTCTGCTGCAGCAGYAACAGGTATTTCTGCATAGAAAAGGTTCCAAATCCTGCAGGTCTTTGCAGATTACGCTGAATTCAGAAGCCCCTGAGATCTGGTAGAACATAATGAGTTGCCTGAAGGGCAGCCATGTGCTGTGATAGTTCATGTGTATCTAGCACACTTTCAGGTGACAAGACCACGAAGGATGGAACTGATAACGATTAAAAAAGTACCTTTCTAGAAAATAGGAGTCAAAACTCATGCCCTTTTGACAAGCCAACTGTATTTCTTTATTCTATTCTTCCTTTTCGTTACAGGCATATGGGAGGCTACTTATTAAATCAAGTCCTAAGTCCTTAAGAGTATGTAATTATGTAATTATGCATATAAAATATCCAAAAAATGAGAATTCATATTGATATGGAAATAAGCTCTAAATATCATAAAGACAATGCTTTAATACACTTGAAAAACATTTAATTGGGATAAATTCTCATAGTTCAGTAWTTTGTTTAAGCAAACTCATGTGCAAAGACAAGCAGCTTCCAGGAAAGACAATTATAGGATAAATTAGATTGATCTAAGAAAAGACAAGTATTATACATTAAATTATTTACTTACCTGCTATACAGCTGTCGTCAGATATTGGAACATCAAGGTAAATAAATCCTTTGTTATACAAGCCTTTACAAATAGAAGCACATTATTTTACAAAGAAAAAAAAAAACATTTAGAGTACCAATGATATAAATCAACTTCCCCACCAGTCAATGCAGAACTTATAAAAACAACTTAACAGCTTCCACATCGGTATGTTACTTTGTAATGCATGGATCAATATACAGCAKTGAATATTAACCATAGGCCAAGCTAAACCACAGCTCTTTACTTGCCATCTGGTACAACATCTCTGGARCTCAGCATCTACTACTAGCAAATCAAGACAAAATGACCAGGGCTCGAAGCAGCTGCTTTGGGCAGTGACGAGGACGTCTCTGCCTCAAGGAGAACCTGGCTTTAGCCATCGTCACTGTCGAGAACTTGATTAGTTTGAAAGCTTTTAACCCTGGACTAAGTTTGTCAGCTGAGGATGCTGGCCCCATTTCAACCCTGCCCTAGCTCAGGGTGGAACATGCACACTTTGTAGAGAGGGTAAAACCTAAATCATGTCAGTTCTGATGGCCCTCACACATCCTTCATGAAAAGTGTTTAATCAAAAATAAATTCTGGAACACTTGAGCACAAGGCACCAGGTGCAGCAGACACAGAGGCACGCACATAGTAAAGACAGGATAGATTTTAAATGTCAATATAGTCCCATCATTCAGCTTAGCTCTGCTGAGCAGATAATCCCTCCTTAAATGTTTTAAGGGCGAAAAAATATTTCAAATATTTTAGTGTCACTATCTTAATGTTCTGTAACAGCTGTACTCTGATAATGGAGCACAGAACTCGACCACAGGGTGTAAAATTGGCTCAATTTACTTCCAACAGCTATTTTGATGCTACCCAACCTCAGTCCACCTACATCATATTCAGCATAGCAGAGAGGAAGCTAAATCAATATCCTCAGGTGAAATGTTATTAAACTCCTGAAGATGACTTATCCTGATGCTTCAACACACACAGTTAGCCCATGGCACAGCTGTAACCACAGTGAAATTACAACCCCTCCAGTCAGTTCTCAATTTGCCTGCTTGTAGAACACCAAACATTTACAAGTAACATTCTGAGAGGTCGCTGGTGAATTTGTGCTGCCTTAGCAGTATTTTTCTCCATATATCCATCACTTGTTATACTGAAACAAGGAGACACGAGCCCAGGTTTTTAGCAATAGGTGCAGACCTCTGAGAAACAAGACAGCCTCTCAGGTTTAAGCCCCATGTTGGATGGTGTTCAAAGACGACTAAATTTCAAAACCTCCTCTTTGAAGGGAAAAGTCTTAGATTATCAACACTGACATTTTCTATTCTTACATCCTTCCCCGTTACCGCCAACATAATCTTTACATGTTCTATGGTAGGAATTTGTTGAATCAATTTTTTGAATCATTTTAAGCAGTAACAGAGCAACAGTTGMCAAAGGTCTAAGCAAGACCTAGACTGCAGTCTGTACAAGCTCTTCAATATTTCCCCCACATCCTCTTATGTCCCACATCCTATTTACTACTAGCTTGCAGACAGTAATCTCAAAATTCCCTCAGCAAGATCCACGGAGAAGCCACAATGATTATACACTTACTGTGAACTACATTGAAGTCCAGTGAACCAGCAAGCTGAGGGCCTGAATCAATTATCTTATCAATAGCAGATTTCTCYGATATGGTACAAATCTAAGTAAAAGAAATCATGTTAGTTTGTTGCAGAAATCAGTCTGTACATCTGAAATAACACAATTAAAAAAAAAGTTCTATTTCAAATTAGTCATAATTGATAACAATATAAGAAGTAACAATGCTCTTAATCAAAATGCCTGTACTGAGAAAGAGTTCACTGGAGTTGTTGCTAGTCTGAGGTCTCTACTCTTGCCCCTACCCAAAGCTAGGCATGCTCAAGGCACAGTGTTTAACTGAACAAACGTCACGCATTTGGCAAGGGAGGTCATAGCAAAACATATGGTAGTTCTTTTAAAACACGCTTGATTTTTAAAACTTATGAACTGAGTGTTCAATTATAGAACTGGAACCATTTTAGAAAGAAGTCAAATCMAGTTTCAGAGTAACTATTTCAGTTTCGAGTTAACTATTTTGAGTGGATGGGATGTCAGAATTTCTGTCCAGAAATAATCAGTGTCCAGGATATTCCCAACAGCAGACAAACTTGGAGAGGGAAGTAGACAGGGATGAAATATTCAGTGACCTTTCAAGTTAGCACAAAAGAGTTCCATGTGCAAACAGTGAAAAGTCAAGAGACATGAGGAAGAGAATTGAAAAAAAAGACATATCAAAGAAGCCTTCTAACATTCTTAATTACAAAAAGTGAAAATGAAAGTGAAGATTCATTCAACAGAGTTGCTGGAGCTTAAATATGAAATTTAACATATTGTMATTTGTTTCCAACAAATTAAAAGAACACACATCAGTTACAATTATGCCTGATGCATAATAACCTCAGCACTACCTGATGGTACATAACCCAAGAAGCACAAAGAACGAAGAGGGCAGCATATGCCAATGAGAACAATACATAATTTCCACTAGTCTCAATCTCTATTACCACAAAAATGCATAAATTACAAATCTGTAATACAGTCTTCATTTAGATCTTACAAAGGGAAGCCTCTATTTTCAGAGGCTCTCTGTTTCCCTCCATTTCAATCAAAATTAAAGATATAAAAGGTATTAAAGTACCTTGATGTCATCCTCTGTGATGTAGCCAGACTGCACAACCCACCAAGCTTCTATAGCAATCTCCACAGGCTTCACAGGTAACAGATCACGGGCAGTTTTCCTTCTGAAAAATTTCTGCAGTGGTACAGTCCATTTGAGATAGTAATAAGTAGCATTTCACACATGCAAAGAGATGTCACTGCTTCCCTTTATTTAAGCTGATGGTTAAGTACCTTTTAGTGCAATACATGATACCCACAGACTGAACAGGCATATATTATTAGCTTCATTTCCGAACAAGTGTGTACTTGTACTAAATGACAAATTTGTTCTCCCTTCCCTCAAATGGGATAAAATGGGGAGAATATACATATAATACTCTTAAATACTCACATAAATCAGTTTCATGTGTTCATTTATTAAAATCACACTACTCAGGCTAGGAGCAAGCCCAAATTAAAAGTATTTATTACACTTTCTACTGCAAAGATGTAAGACAGCACAGCCCTTTGGTGTCCTAGATTTACTTATACTTTCAGAAACATGTTTAAAGAAATGTAGAACTGAATAAATCGAAATAAAGAGGGAAGTTAAAAATCTCCTTATTAAGTTCAGAAGGGACAAAAAAAGAACAAGCAAACAAATAAAATTGTGTTACATTTGGTTAGCTGTACCATGTAATTAAAGAGACCCATGAAATTTTTCCCTTCTCCATTTGCCAAAGACAACATGCATGGTCACAGGGGCAAGGGAAATTAAAGACAAACTTACTTTTGAAGACCTACATTGGTTCATTAGATCTATATACTGATTTCTTCCTATACCAAGAAGTCTCAAGCCTGAAAAACAGAGAAGCTTTTATTTCTATTTTGTCTCTGTTATCTAGGGATAGCTAAAGAGCTAAACACAGTTCTAACTGATGGATTCCGTTTCCAGATAAACATGGTTCTCTAGGTCCTGTTATTTATTCAGTATAGGTTTAAAAATCAATAAATAAAGCAACAAAAGGAATCCCATCTCTCCAAAGTCAGGGCATAGAATAATTTAACTCCTTTCCTTCCCAGCTAATAACTCTGCTTCAGATTCACAGAACTAAGCTTGTACTGGGTTTTTGGTAAGGATCCTCCCAGCAAAACTCTATGCACTAAATTAAAACTCTGGAAACTGAAAATCAGAACACAAAACACCACATAAGCCACTAGAGATGCTTACTTTCTAGTTGGGCTAAAATGATTTACAATTTAATTGTACAATCTCTAGTCTTCAGCCACTGAGGAATTAGGAAAGAACACTGGAAAACTATTAATGGGATTTAGCTCATACAATCTCTCAGTTTTAAAAACTAAGGTCAAATTAGAAAGCTGWAGTTAATATAAAATGGCAACAAAAATGCTTAACTTAATTGTAACTCTGTAACCAACCTGAAGCTGMTGCTATAATAACCTCAGTGCTTTGGGGGAAAGGGAAGGACTTTCCATTCTTCATGCTCCCAAGTAACACCAGATTCCCAGAGGGCTACACRGTGCTGAAGAAAAAAGTTTTTTTCCTGAGCTGTTTTCACAGTGGGAGTTTGAGATAGGGTGGAATTAAAGTTAACTGAAGTTATCCTTTCCTGAGGCTGTTTTCAAAAGTCTCAGGAGAGTCTCACTCAAACCAGTTCACTCTTTTAGCCAGTTCAATGTAAAAAGCTACATTTTTCTGGAGAGCTGATTTTCTGTTCTCATCTCAGGCATCATCCCTTAAACTTCCCTTCTCATTCCCACACCAGTCTCACAAAAAGCAGAATTAGAGGAGGAAAAAAAAAAAAAAAAAAAAAAAAAAGCAGGATACAGTTTTCTATTGTATCTATTCACACTCATATTATTCCAGCCCTGTGGCAACCGCATCAACAGGTGTCTGCATGAAGAGCATGTTCTCCTGGACAGTACTATTTAAATGGCTCTACACCTTCATTCAAACACTTATCTTTAAGCAAACAGACCTCCTATAAATGTATTTTCAGAAGCTCCATATCTGCAACTCATCAAAAGCAGCAGCACAATCAGATAATACTCACAATCAGCAGCAGTAAAGTTGGGTAATGAATCATAGCTTTTTTCACTGTTCATTATATCCTTAAGAAACAAGGAAATTAAGGAAGTTTAGTTAAAAACAGAAAAACTTAGCTAAAACAAGAAAGATATTGCTTCAGAGAGGGAGGCCCAGTTCACATAGGGGAACCTTAAAAGCTGAGCCTATCTCCATTTTTTGTAGTTGAAATAAAAACAGAAATATATTAAGATTAGTTAATTGATTTAAGAAGAAAAATGCAGACTGAAAGAAAACAGAAGTTTTCTGTGCAGATRGAAAGAAACAAAGATGAATTTTTCTGCTGTCCTCACAAAGGAAAAACAGCACAAGAAATGGCCAATTGTGATTACACAAAGTGGTTGTTAGTCTACTCTACATTTTAGTGTCTGCAATCATTATAGACAGAATAAGTTAAAAAAAAAAAAAACAGTTAGATGTCCAATGAAATAAGGTTGACAGAAAACACAGCTACCTTAATTCTCATAGAAAGGATCTGGAAAGGATCRTAGGATTTTCTAAAAATGCAAACTGTACTTGCTTTATTAATCAAACATAATATTCCTTGTACAAAAAAAGTTTGAAGTGAAAAGCCACAGATCTCAGTAGGTCAGAAAAGAGACAGTCTGCCCTAAGCGTGATTCCCACCCAGCTCAGCCTGACAAACCCTGGCTCTGGAGGGGCTAAGGGGGCATCGACAAATGCAGGTACAAGTTGTTCTGCAGAAACTTTCCTCACTGAGGCTCGTTATCAGGCTCTAGCCCAAAGCAAACAAGTCACGTGGTGCTGCCCAGCAAGTGCTCCAGAGGCACCAGGGACGCTGCAAGAGAGGAACATAACTTATCTTGCTGCAGTTTTGTGCTCACCTCCATTATGCCCGTGTAGTAGGAAAACGGAGTCATCCTCAGGCCTTTCACCATGATGTCAGACAAATGGTAAGGGTATAACATGAGATGGTCTCGACTGTATTTCAGCAGATCCTCATAATATTTGCGCTCATCCTTCTTGACATGCTTAACTGTAGGAGAAGAGGAGGAAAAAATGTTGGGCTGTTCTATAAAATGTGTATAAAAATATAAAAGGGAAGCAAAAGAATATAGTACAATGGCAACCGAGAGAAAATTAAAAATAAAGGAGTGGTGCAGGGTATCCAACAGTCAGGGACTTCAACATATGATACAAGTACTCAGAGCTAAAATAACATAACATAAAATCACACTTGGAGCAGGTTTACTTCACATATTATCAGGGAGTGATCCACTCAGACAAATCTAGTGCAGGAACATAGTGGAAGATTATCTTTAATAGAACTATTACCTAATGTTGCAGTTAATGCAAAGCAAATGGGAGCTCTGCAAACAAGTAGGTAACTCGTGCAAGTCGGGGCATCTGTCTGCATCTCACCCAGAGACTCTTTGTTTTACTAGTCAGGTCCTCAGCTGACARGTCTTAACTTCTTTGAACAGAGCAGTTTAACCACTAGAAAACAGCAGTGGAACTGCTGTGGAACAGCAACAACTGCAGTGGAAATTCAGCTCTATCGTTCAGCACAGAAACTCTAAAAACCACTTTCTTAGAAAAGCTGCTAAAAGACGGAGATTTTTGTTGAGCTTTTTCTTGATGAGAAGATTTTTCTGGACAGCGAATCGGGCAGCAATCAGAAGTTACGCTGCTTTYCACTCACCTAAGTTATTGCGGTATCGGAGCTGATTGCGGATGCTGTAGAGCACAACCTGCCTTTCATATTCCCTCTGGGAGTTTCCAAGGCCCTTGAAAACATAAAAGCCTTTTAGCTGACATGCATAAAACTCCCAACGCAGAACTCCCGTTCCTCCTACAGATCAGCTCCTGAAGCCTCAAACTCAAGGAATTCAATTATTCAGGATCTGAAGCCACTATTTATCCTCTCCATCCTTTCTCCTGCACAAGGGCAGGAATTATTTTTCAGTATCTGCTTTCAAGACTTGGGGGATGAGAAGAGGACCTCCCTCCTGCCCTGACACAGGATCTGCCGTGGCTCTTGGGCCCATCAAACCTGGCAAAAGGGGATTTCATCGGGTTGCGTTCCCACAGGCCGCTCACGGACGCGGCTCCCGCCTGCCCAGGGCGGCCACGGGCCGGGACGTGACACGGGCCGGGTCCATCCGGCACTGCCGGTGGGTCCTGGGGGAACCTCCCTCTGCTCACACTGGGGGAGCAGCATCCTGGAGAGCCCCGAGAGGAAGCCCACGTCCCCCTCTCCCTATGGAGACCCCCAAAATCTCCCCCMCACACCCCTCTCCCTATGGAGAACTCGGACACTCTCCCAAACCCTCCTCTCCCTATGGAAAGCCTCAACGCTCCCTCCACACCTCTCTTTCCCTATGAGGAACTCAACACTCTCCCCATACCCCCCCCTTTCTACGGAGGGTCCGACACTCCCCCCACATCTCCCTCTTCCTATGGAGAACCCCAATGCTTTGTTCACACCCCCCTTTCCTTATGGAGAGCCCCAACACTTGGTCCACACCTCCCTCGACCCCCCCACACACAGCCCCCTCTCCCCATGGGCAGCCCCACACCCCCTCCCTCTCCCTATGGAGAGCCCCAACGCTCCCCCCACAGCCCCCT